ACTTGACGCATTTTCGATGAACGGTTTTTGAGTTATTGCCCTTGACTTTGTTAAAACACGTCAAAATTTGTTAAGAATAGTTTGTGAGCAGGATTGAAGCTACAGTTTTCAACCGATTCTGATGAAACTTAGTGTGATCATTGGAATTGATAAGATCTCGGACAAGTTCTAACTTGACACATTTTCGATGAACTGTTTTTGATTTATTGCCCTTGACTTTGTTAAAATGTGTTGAAATTTGTTAAAAATTGTTCGTGAGCAGGATTGAAGCTACAGTTTTCAACCGATTCTGATGAAACTTGGTGTAATCATTGAAATTGATAAGATCTCGGACAAGTTCTAACTTGACGCATTTCTGATGAACGGTTTTTTAGTTATTGCCCTTGACTTTGTTAAAACATGTTGAAATTTGTTAAAAATAGTTTGTGAGCAGGATTAATGCTACAGTTTTCAACCGATTCTGATGAAACTGGGTGTGATCATTGGAATTGATAAGATCTCGGACAAGTTCTAACTAAAGTTCTAACGTTCGATGAACGTTTTTTGAGTTATTGCCCTTGACTTTGTAAAAACGCGTCAACATTTGTTCGTGAGCACAATAGAAGCTACAGTTTTCAACCGATTCTGATGAAACTTGGTGTGATCATTGAAATTGATAAGATTTTGGACAAGTTCTAACTTGACGCATTTTCGATGAAATGTTTTTGAGTTAATACCATTGACAGCCAAAGTTTTTATAAAAAATTCATTCTGTACTAAACTGCTCTCCACTTTCTGAAGTTTCTGGAAAAGATCATCAATATATAGTGGATACACAAATAATTATGGTAACACATGGACTTAAGACTGAAATATGCATGAAAAGATGTGAACACTATTATTGACAAGGTTAACTAAAAAAATTCTTGTTTCTGAGACTCAGTTACATTTGATTGCATGGATGGTTAATGTGCGTCTTTAATACATATTTTGTTCATATTCCAAAAAATTATGAATATGTATATTAAAAAATACTTGACATCATCTTATAACATGTTATCAGTGTGTGGTGGATAATTTTATGGCTGTCTTCCAATAAGAGAATGTATCACAACAAGAATATTAAGGTTTACTCTGATTTCAATATATTTAACTTTATTTTAGTTATCTGTTCCAATTTGATTCAATGAGAAAAAAAAAGATAATTTTACGGATAATAAAAGAGTGATATATGACCTTATTTTCAAGAGTGAAGTTATTAAAGGCATGCACTGACTGAAGTTTATTCACATTGAGCTAGTTATGTAAGTTAATTAAGCACTTCTTTTTACAAGTTGCTTAGTCACTCAATAACAGACTCATTAATCTAAAAACATATTGAAGGTCATCTTCACAATGTCAAGACTGCAATAGACGCCTTTCTTGTTTGGAAGTGCAGTGATTTGATTGGATTGTACATTTACGAATACAGCCAATCAGAGTCTTGACAGAAAGACTGTAAACAATAAGCTATAATGTTGACTTTCTTTCTATCTAGAGTCCTGTTGTAGCAGAAGCACATTCCAATTAACTTGCTGCATTCCGTGATACAAGAAATGTGGCTATTGTAGTCAAGGTGTAAGACAGAATTTGTAGTAGCTTGACATTGTGATAATGAAAGAAGTTGTCATCTTGTTCTTCAGGCAAATAATTAAAAAAGTCATGATAAAGTCTGTGACTGCCTTATCTTTATAGTACCGCATTTTAATCTGTTATTTCTAAAAATCTATAATAGTTCACATCTAAACATACAGGCAAATTACCTTACTATCTTTTCATTATGGATCAGTAAATTAAAGGGATTGTAAAGAGGTTTTCTAAATTTGTAGGTGCATCGCTTTAAAGGATGACAGTATTTTTATAATCATCTTCCAACATGTTACTAAATTTTTTATACTTTCCATCATCAGATGTGTTATTATTTCAAAAGAAGCAAACGAAGTGGCTTGGCAGTGCGTAACTTATATCTCTCCATGGTACTGCTTTTTTAGCATCCTGAAATACTAATCAAAAAACAATTTGCTTTTTGTCTGTAGCCAAGTTATGACAAAGTTAATTGTAAATTAAGGTAACTATTTTTGTTAAAAATTTTCAAAATTGTGGTGGTCTGGGTGATTTCTTTATGCTGGGGACCAACTAGTAAAGGTTGAAAAATAAAATGATTGAAGTCTTGGCCCAGTGATGTTGATTTTTTCCTTGAAATGTGAAACAGTTTGATTTGATTATTTATAGTTGATCTATACCTTCCTTATCTCTGATAAAGGACATATTCTGTTTTTAATGTATATGAAAGTTCACTCAGTTTCATTTTCTCTAGGGATTATATTATTCAAAAAGTTTATTTGCGTCCCCTCCAACTCCCTTAACACAATGAGAAGAAATGGTTGGTGTGAAGATCTTTTATTAAAGATTAAAAGTATTGAAATATGAGTCTACATATATCTAAATAATAAAACTAGCCCTTAACTCATATTCCAGTTGGGCTTAACAAATACTAAATTATGCTTTAACAAATACTACATAACACATAAAACTAAGCAACAAATATGAAAATAACAAAACCTGTAAGAATATATGGTAAAGGAAAAGAAAAATAATTCAAGGATGCCAGATGAGGAGGCGGAGGGTTATAAACAAAAGTATAACAAAAAGCACATTGCAAGATGGCGGGTGCAGAATAAAAGTTTCTGCACACAGTTCCCGAATGATGAGGTAACCAAAAGTTCAAGAAACGAGTTCTGATTGGCTATGACGCAAATCATATTACCTTCATTAATATTCATTTGCGTCCCCTCCAACTCCCTTAACACAATGAGAAGAAATGGTTGGTGTGAAGATCTTTTATTAAAGATTAAAAGTATTGAAATATGAGTCTACATATATCTAAATAATAACACTAGCCCTTAACTCATATTCCAGTTGGGCTTAACAAATACTAAATTATGCCAAACACTCTGATAGGAGTCAAGCCCAACACAGGACACATCACACCAACAATTTCTTGGAATAGCATAACAAGAAATACAAACTAAAAACAAAAACATACAAGCCACGTTCTACAACGCTAGCGAAGCACAAAAAGGCAATCGCATCATGACAGGGAGAAGTTAACGAGACATTGAAGGGATACAATATAAGATTTTAGAGCATTGCTATGCCATCTGCCCATCACAGGCATAGCATCCTCAGAATGCTCCTTTAGAAAGCTGAAGTTGCTGCTCCAATCCAGAAAGAGTATTAACTTGTAAAGTGTAGGATTAAGGCCAAGGTAAGAAATCAAGGTTTTTAATTTCAAATTGACAAAATTATATGTGATTGGCAAGCCATCAATAAATTGGAACAAAGGGCCAGATGAGTGCGGGTAGGCTTGTAAATAAGACAATAAGAGACAAGGTGCAGGTGAGACATGACAAGTACATGGTATGAGTAATTTCATGGGTGTGGTTGACTTCTTGTGCTTAAAATTCATTAACGAAATTTCTATAGATGATAGCTTATTTGAACAAAAGAGAAAATGAACATTTTGAGTTTGGACAAGTTTTTTTTAACTGAGATTGGATTTCATCACTAACTCGTCTAAGCGAAAGAACCCAGCAAAAGCCAAAGAAAACAAAGCACGTAATAAAATTTGGTGAAAAGTTGATACAAAAACCTTAGGGATTGCTTGCAATAATTGATGCAAGATAGTTTCAGTAATAGGAAGTCTGGAATCAGGAGAAACATGGAAACGATTAACACCCTTAAGCAAGGTTTTAATTAGGAAATTACTAGTAGGAGCTGGATAGCCAGAAGTTTGTTGGACATATGCAAGCACTGAAGCATGCGAGGCAATGGTACTAGCAGCATAGCTTGACTCAAAAAGAAAGGCCAAAAAATTTATAATTATTGAATTTGGAATCGGAAACAGGGGCCTAAGTTGTTGATCATGACAAAAAGTTATAAACCTTGACCAAGCTCGAGAGTAAGATACTTTGGAACTAGGAGACAGAGCTGCTCCAATTAACTGAACAGCTGTGTTACTTAAATGTACATCAGGGTTTGATCCAGTACTTGTGGGTTTACTGGAATGTGTTTGGCACGAACAATTATAGTAAATTTAATGGAAGCAAGAACGAGTCGTCTAAGTAATTTAAAGTATAACAAAAAGCACATTGCAAGATGGCGGGTGCAGAATAAAATAAATATTTAGTATGAGTTATTGCCCTTGTTCTTGAAAACGCTTTCAAATTTAGCTCTTAAACACTAAAAGGCATGATTCTTGCTGGATTTTGACAAAAGTTGGTTTTATTGTTCAGTCCCGCGCTGAAGATTGAATATTTGCCTTCTAGAGTTTTCACGAGCTAAAGAATTGAACACGTTTTCAAGAACAAGGGAAATAACTAATACTCAATATTATTCAGTGTCGCTCTAAAGAGTTCAAAAGAAGTGTATGACTGAAGGTTGAATACTTAATACTGGTGATTGTTACTGTACTGCTAAATATTTTTATTCAAAATCAAAGCTGCTAGTGGGTGTATATTACCTTGCCTGGCAAGCTCTCTTAAGATATAAAAACAATTAAACAAGAAATAGTTAGTTAAAAAGGATATGATTAAAGAAGCAAATGAATGTTTAAAACACATCCTGTAAAGCTTAACAAAACACATAACAAAAATGTTGCTTTATATCTGCTATTTTAACAAGCTTAATAAGGGGTTTCTCCATATTTTGAGTTTCAACTTACTATATTAAACAGTTCTGTTTGATATGGTATAAATCTATAACATATAAAAATTCTAAAAAGCTTAAATTTTTGAAAAAAATAATAATAAGTATGAAGTATGTTTAAATATTGTCATTTGTATTGCTCTTCTCACTGCATGTAACCTCAACACAAAATAAAAATCTGTTGTTGTCACTTGTCTTATGTGGATTAAATCAATCCTTCTGTTTGATTGTAGAAGTACTTACTAAGCCAAGCTTAAGGGGAACTTATGCACCATCTAACCATCCATAGATTCATACAAGTCATTTTCAATTATTATCATTTCAGGATTCTGAACTGTGCTTGAACAGGATTTTGACCTTTGCACCAATTCACAAACCACATCATTAAAGTCACTTTTACCTGAATTGTTCAACAATTTGTTATAACTGAGACTTCTTGATGAAGATGAGGCTTTTGTTCTTAACTCCACATTATCATCATCTTGATTAGAACTTTTCTGTCCAGCCTCATCCTTCATAACTGGTTTCCTTTTGTCTTTGACATCACTGATTCCACAATTATGTAACATCTTAATTTCTAGATCTCCAAATATTTCACCACTCTTGGAGTAGCATTTTTTGTTATCAAAACATGAATTTGGACTCTTGCTCAGACTTTCTTCAGTAAATGATTTATTTAATGAGGTCTGAGGGGAGAAAACATTTTCTAGATGATTATAAGTGTCTTCAATATCATCTAAATTATCATAGTCATATTGTCCATTCTCCAGTAATACAGATTGATGGTTTGATTTTATATCAGTGTGATTAGAATTTACACTCTTCCGATTAGTCGTTTCCCTTTGTATTGGCTGTGATTCCAATTGAACATTTGAATATCTGTCTGTTTGTGGAGTTGAAGTTTGATCTGTATGTGTATCTGACTTTCTGTTACCAGATGAATTGGTAAAATCAACAGATTCTTGTTTGGTTGGAGGTGGTTTGGAAGGTACATTAGGTATTGTAGGCTCAGTTTTTTCTTTACATAATGGATAATACTCTGTGATTTCACAAAACTCATAATCTTCTTCATCAGGCTTGGATTCTGAAACTAATTCATTATACATGATTTTAGAGTTCAGGTGTCACATAGACAGACTACATTCAAACATTCTTTCTCTACTCTATCTCCCAGTTTACAGCACTGCTTTTTTATACGCCCACATGAAATGGGGGGCGTATATTGTTGTCACCCATGTCTGTCGGTCCGTCCGTCCGTCCACAATTACTTGTAAACAATCTACAAGGCACAATTCTGGACTGATTTCGACAAAACTTGTTATGGTTGATTGCAATCACCCAAGGATGAACCCTATTGAAAATCAGAAAAATCGAAAAATATTATATGCCAAAAAGTTATTTCCCTTGTTCTTGAGACGCTCGTAAACACTCTAGAAGGTGCAATTCATGACAGATTTTGATGAAACTTTGTGTGAGTGTTTGTAATCACCCAAAGATGGTATGAGTTATTGCCCTTGTTCTTGAAAACACGTTCAATTTTTGGCTTGTAAACACTCTAGAAGGCACAATTCTGGACGGATTTTAACGAAACTTGGCTTGAGTGTTTGTTATCACCCAAGGATAAAGCCTATTGAAAATCAGAAAAAATGGAAAAATATTTAGTATGAGTTATTGCCCTTGTTCTTGAAAACTCGGTCTATTTGTAGCTCGTAAAAACTCTAGAAGGCATGATTCTTGCCGGATTGTGACAAAACTTGGTTTTATTATTCAGTACCTCGCTTAAGATTGAATATTTGTCTTCTAGAGTTTTCTGAAGGTAGAATATTTCATACTGGTGATTGTTACTGTACTGCTAAATATTTTTATTCAAAATCAAAGCTGCCAGTGGGCGTATATTACCTTGCCTGGCAAGCTATCTTTTTATGTTTCAAGAGAAAGCTTTTCTCAATTCTTTAGAAGCCTTCAGTGACTTATTATGAAAGATAATCTGATTTTATCAAGATATTTGTTTTCTAGCAGGTTAACTGTAATATTCCTCTAATACCAGAGTGATATAAAGACACAAGACACCGAAAGCTTATTCTCAATATCATTAACACTTGCTATTCCATTTTTGAAGATTTTGTACAACTTTCAAGATATAGCTGTTTACTCATATTTTCTATAATATAGTTTATATTATGCTCTCTTTCTGATGAAAATTTTAAAACTTTACTTACCCTTGGTACTTTTGATTTCTGATGTTTTTTCTGGAATGATCTCTGATACTTTGTGTGTATTTATTACTTTCTCGGAAACATCTTTCTTTTGTCTATATTTTCTGTAAGGAATGGTGATAAAGCACATATTTTTTTGCTGTTCTAACATTGACTATTTAATGTGTAGTAAAATATATTGCATGAAATCTGTTTGGCTGATATTGTTTCTTTGTTTTTGGATGATTCAAAAATTGGAATTTGCCAAAATCAGTATATATTCATCATATATTCATAAAGACTTACCTGGTGTCATAACTTATAAAGGCTATTTTCTTTATGTTTGATCATAATATATGTGACAAAAATATAAAAAATTGACAATGGATATAAATAGTCTTGTAGATCATGTGTATGTCGACTCCCTATGATTTCAAAAGTAATGGATCATCGAGTTTGCAAACTTTTGGTATGAAAGTCAATGTCTCTTTAACTTATGACAGACTGCAGACGTCAAAATCGTAAATGGAAATAGGATATCAAATACCTTAAGAATATAAAAATGATTAGTATCGAAATAAATATCATAAAGATACCAATTCCTGTTAATATCATTCCAATATTGATACCTGAAAAAAGGGAGATAACTAGACATATTCTTAGAATATAGACAATCTATAATTCAGTTGGTCAAAAATACAGCAAATGAATTATATGAATACTAGATTTTACATAAATTACAAGTGATCCCCACACACTAAAACAATGATACCAAACTCTTTGAAAATTGGTATTAAGAAAGAAAATGCTTTCTTTAGATGTAACGTAGTAGAAAAGTTATCATCAACAATTTGAATATCTTACTACTTGTCTTGTTATTGCTAGGGACAGGAAGTGGTACTTGATCATTTTTAGTGAAATTTTCTTCTAATTTTTCCACCATACCAGGATGTGTAATTTCAGTTGATTTACTTTTACATGATAACGTTATATTTAAATCTAAAAAAAAAAGAGCAAAAAATGTTAATTTGTCGTGTGTCTGCTATTATATCATGTACTGAGCTCTAAGCTAAACTCATGTGTATAGGAATTACATACAAACTACTAAAAATATGCTTCTTAATGTGTCAATCAGAACATAGTAATTTCTCAATATTTTTTTAGTAACAATAAAGATCATTTAGGGGCCTTATTTTGTGATTAATAATTCATATAAAGTATAAAGGCAGGTAACATTGAAATTATAATTTAAAGTTTAAGTTACATAACTTGTATTGAAGAATGGGACTTTCCCTGGTTTAAATAGGTCACACTTACCATTATCTGTTTTGCCACTGACTTCAAATAGAAATTGTGAAATGCCACCATTTTCAGTAAACTGTATTGTACCATTATTACGCAGTCTAAAGGAACATTTGTGTCTTGCAGAACATTTGAATTTACTTGTATCCTTAAACTCATTTTTTTTTTTTTTTTGAAGATAAAGTGATGTGTTTTCTTTGTTAATAAGAGTTAAATATTGGATGTCAATTCTTGAATTGTTACTATTGGAATAGATATGACAAGAACAATTATGTTGTTTTAAACTTTTCTGTGAAAAACCATCATGGTATACGAAGAAAGTATCGTTGAAGGTTTGTTTTGTATCATTACAGATAGGTATGAACTTATCAACCAGGTCTACAAGAAAATTTATCATAAAAATAGAATTTGAAGTAGATATAGAAATCCTGTCAATATATATGAAAATACTTATTTTGCATTCAGACAGCTAAAGTTAAGGCAGCTTAACTGTCAACCATTCTTCGAGTCTGGTTGCATGTATTTGGGTGAGCAACAGAAATATAAGTTAAGCCAGATTTGGAATTACCTAAAAAGGTATTGGTAAGATCAGAGGTCACAATAAATAGTAATGAAGAGAATTTGTTTGAGGAATGTGAACATGCACTATTCAAACCAGGTTTTAAGCCACCTCAGAAGTAGGTGCAAGTGAAGGCAGCTTAAGTTTGATTGGTCGCATTGAGACAACTAACAAAACTGGCTCAAAGAATAGTTGACTGCCATAACTTTGGGCATCTGAATGCACTATTCGATAAATATTAACTCAAATTAAAAAAAAATATATTGAATTGAAAAATCAATTTGAAGAAAATGTGAACATCTGAGAGAATCCAGAAGTTCTTGATTAAAACTGTTTTTTTACTCATACATAATTGCAGAGGAACAAATAGTGTCTCAAAAATATTTGCCAAGACTCATGCTCTGACCTCATTAAGATATCATACTAATTGAGTTGAGTTAAAAAAAGGCCCAATATGTATTGTTAAAGTAACTTGAAAAGATTAGGAAAACTAGTGATACCTGATGATATATTCCAAGATAAAGTTGATAATAGATGAAATAAAGATGTATAATCCATAATTAACAGTAAAACAATGATATAAAACAAGGAAGTAATTGTAGATTTCATACATCCTTGTTGTATGATATCAATAAATACGTAGGATGGGTGTTTCCTTTCCATTATATTCAATTTCTATATTCTTCTAATAATTGATAATATTATATCACATACTGTAAAAAATACTAATTACATATTACATACAATATAAATGTCCCCTTAAAGTCTGGGTTCCCAACCTCTAGCAGACTAGTCTGAAAACTTTTTAAAAATTAATATAGTTTGTGAAAGCTCTTACATAAAAACTCCCCCCCCCCCTCTTGTCTCAGACCACTGGAAATGGCACTTGTGAGCTTATTATTCTTAAAATATTCATGGTGTTCATGTGTTAGCCGAATTATATCATAATTTGAAATTGCACATCAATTGCATATCAAATAGTAATCAAGGAAAATTTTCCAGGCTGGATTGTAACCACAAAAGATAATTTTTATACGTGCACATGTTACGGGGGGTGTATATTGTCGGTCCGTCGGTCCACAATTGCTTGTAAACACTCTACAAGACACAATTCTTGACGGATTTTGACAAAACTTGGTATGAGTGTTCGTAATCACCCAAGGATGAACCCTATTGAATATCAGAAGAATCGAAAAATATTTAGTATAAGTTATTGCTCTTGTTCTTGAAAACGCGTTCAATTTTTAGCTCGTAAACACTCTAGAAGGGACAATAATTGATGGATTTTAACGAAACTTGGTATGAGTGTTCGTTATCACTATGAACCCTATTGAAAATCAGAAGAATTGATATTTAGTATGAGTTATTGCCCTTGTTCTTGAAAACGCTATCAAATTTAGCTCTTAAACACTAAAAGGCATGATTCTTGCTGGATTTTGACCAAACTTGGTTATTCAGTCCCGCGCTGAAGATTGAATATTTGCCTTCTAGAGTTTTCACGAACTAAAAATTGAACAGGTTTTCAAGAACAAGGGCAATAACTCATACTCAATATTATTCAGTATCGCCCTAAAGAGTTCAGAAGAAGTGTATGACTGAAGGTTGAATATTTCATACTGGTGATTGTTACTGTACTGCTAAATATTTTTATTCAAAAATCAAAGCTGCTAGTGGGTGTATATTACCTTGCCTGGCAAGCTATCTTTATATTAATCATTAAACAGAATTTCTTTTCATTTAAAACATCTTTTATTCTCAAAGGAAATAATGTCTACTACATTTGATCAAGACTTGAAATCATTGTTAAAGATAATGGCTACCTTTGGTCTACATTTTCAGGCCGGGTTAGCTTCCTATTCTCAGAAAATGTCTTTCTGCAAATTGAAAACAATATAAAGGTCATAATGAATGACATATTCATAGACTGTGGTTAATAAACATTCACTGATTTTTTATATGTGGGTTGAATTGACTTCATTTAGTGGCTTTGAGAAAATAGATTTGTCTGTCATATAAATGTCATTGCTATAATGATTTCCTGGATTTTAAAGAAAATTAACCCTAAACCAGTAATATTCTAGTGCCATTAATATTCTAGTTCCAGTCATATTCTATAATAGCTTCAGTAATATTTTAGTACCAGCAATTTAATTATAGTGTCAGCAATATTCTAGCTCCAGTAATAATTTAATTATAGTGACAGTAATATTCTAGCTCCAGTAATAATTTAATTATAGTGACAGTAATATTCTAGCTCCAGTAATAATTTAATTATAGTGACAGTAATATTCTAGCTCCAGTAATAATTTAATTATAGTGACAGTAATATTCTAGCTCCAGTAATAATTTAATTATAGTGACAATAATATTCTAGCTCCAGAAGTATTTCTAATTCTTTTGCCAGTGATATTTTAATACTAGAGCAAGTAGTATTCTAGCTCCAGTAATATTCTAGTGCCAGTAATATTTTACCTCAAATGATATTCTTGCTCCAGTAATATTCTAGCTCCAGTTATATTTAAATTCTATTGCCAGTGATATTTTAATTCTAGTGCCAGTAGTATTCTAGTGCCAGTAATATTTTACCTCAAATGATATTCTAGCTCCAGTAATATTCTAGCTCCAGTAATATTCTAGCTCCAATGATATTCTAGCTCCAGTAATATTCATGATTGTCATTGGACATTATACTTTTAGTCATCAGATGTGCCAGAATTTCAAGATCATTTTAAGACCATTTTTAAATGGAATGGAAGTGCTTTGTCAGTGCTTGGCCACCACTTCAAAGCAATGGCATTTTTTGTGAGAAATCTACAGTTAGTTTTCTGTAAAAATGTTAGCTTGAATTCACCATCTTTCAAACGTGACGAGTTATCGTCATTAAAAATTAAAAGGATTGTGAATTATAATTTGAATATAGGCAATGTCACGAGAATGCAAATTGTGATTTGAAATAGTTGTTCTACTAACCTGGTTTTCTAAATCATTTTGACATCTTGAAAAATGATTAAACCAAAAACTAACTGCATTTCATATTTTGTTCATGATTTATTTTATTTTTTTTTTTGGTGTGGCTGTAAATTCATATATAATTACATGTGGAGCCATTTAAGTGGTTTTGAATACAAACTAGCATGACAGATTGCTGAGAATGAAATTGTCATAAATTATTCCTGTAATTAGTTTCTATGGTTTTGATCTTCTGGTTTCATTAAAAATTATCTTATTCTTAAACATGGTAACCTCAATTACCCTTACAATTAGTTTATAAACCATGAAAATAGTAAACCTAGTATGTAATAATCAGGAATTGAAAAATTCAGCATCCTTGAGAGCATTGTCATTATTTAGAATACATGTCAGATATTGACTCAGCGATTAGATTACCAGTCATCATAGTCACGTATTTCAATGGATCTATGGATAGCGTGTAAGACTTGAAGACATTCATGTGTAAGGATTTAATGCTTGAAGGGTTAAACTATAAAGTCTCCTTAGAAAGCTGCGGTGTTATTATAAATATATTGGAAAGGATTGGCGAGATTGTATCATATATAATAGAAGGCTAACTTAGTCTGTGACAGCTGTAGAACTGTTCCTGACTACCAGAACAGACCAGTTAAAACAGCAGACGACAGTGTAGTATAATTCAATTGTTTATTTCTTTGCCTACCTGGATTATAACAACTAAACAGGTTAATCAAGTCTAAAGTAATCTGGAAAAATGATGACCAGTTTACAAAAGAGGGAATTGTTAAATTACGATTGGTCTATATTCCAAGATTTTAAACAGGTAATTTTGATGTTGTATACTAATACATGACTATGTCAGAGACAAAATGACATATAAATTTTTGAGAACTATTTTAGGGCATAATGGAAAACACCAGAGATCATCTGGTATTTGAGTACTCATGTGTGAATGAACTAAAAATTTAAATTGCTAACTGTAAGGTAAGCTGGTGGTCAATATTTTTTCAATGGTTTTTGATAAGTGATTTAGGTCAAAGAGAAGCAAGTAATAACCTGGAGTTAAAGGCAGATATATTATCCAATTGTTTTTAAATTGACATATTTGACTTTGGAATGTGGTGGTTATATTCTTGATTACATTTTTTAAATCGATAAAAATTAAGTAAGTGAAAGGTTTTTTAATGAATGTGGGCCTTGAAACTTTTGTCATTAATTTTATTTAAAAGCATATAACTTCTTATTATACAGACAGTAGACACTCTTCTATTTAAATTCAGTTTTATTATGTGTAGAAATTGGATTATGCTAAACTGTAAAATTGATTGATGTCTGTTAAGATTAAGATTTATGTGTCATGACTTGGTAGACAGGCTTGTTTAACATAATGTAATAATTAACTTTCAAATTGAAATTGTCTGTTTAATGGACAAAATCTATGTCAAGGATTTGCTGATTCTTACTTTTAACTAGATCATGGATTGAAATAATTACTATTGATTTTATAGACTGGAATGGAGATGTTTTATTCGAGACACATGTTACCTATAGATATTCTATAGATGAACTGGAATTAATCTTGAATTTATTGAAAGTGTTGAATTTGATATTGATGCATTACATGATTGAAACATTTTTGATTACTCGATGAAATAGGGTAAACGTCAGAGTTCTGTGCAGCATTTTTACAGTTGTAACTTGTAAAAGGGTAAAAGATGATGACTTAAAACCTTTTATTAATTGATGTAAGTCAAGTATGTTGGGTATACTTGCTTTTCAGGAACACCACATATAATTCTATGTATAATCCAATTTGGCACAGGTTTTAGATAGGCCATACAGCAAATTACATTCATTTAGTATTTTCTTACAAATGTGCTGAAGTAATCAAATAACAATGAAATTGCAACCCCTAGAGTTGCTTACTGCTTTGGTCAAATTTAACCCCCATTTCCAATACTAAGTGTTCTAAAAAGGATTGATTATGCACAAGCTCTTTTATTCTCATCCAAAACATGTGTCGCCAGTATGAAAGGTGCTCTAGTCAACTTCAAACTGTTTGATTACATTGTATCATAGAAATAATTATTATACATTAGATGAAAGCATGATTAATCTGTTTTTTTTTTTTTTTATAGTGATATGAAATTTATGAATATATAATTACATTTCATGATAAAAAATATTACTTAATTATAGAATTGGATTCAGCTGAAACGAACTGTTACAAAACATTAAACATTGCCAGATGTTACATGTCTGTGTTTTGGGGTTATTTTTTGTACTAAATTATCTAGTAAAAATCAATGAATAAGTAGATTGATGTTGAATATTGAATAAAAGTATTATTGTTTGGTACTATGATATGGTTGTTATGGCTGTCTACTACTATTGTTTGGTATTATGATATGGATGATATGGCTGTCTTCTATTATTTTTTGGTATTATGATATGGCTGTCTTCTATTATTGTTTGGTATTATGATATGGCTGTCTTCTATTATTGTTTGGTATTATGATATGGCTGTCTTCTATCATTGTTTGGTATTATGATAATTCTGTTATAGCTGTCTTCTATTATTGTTTGGTATTATGATATTGCTGTCTTCTATTATTGTTTGGTATTATGATAATGCTGTTATGGTTGTCTTCTATTATTGTTTGTTATTATGATATTGCTGTCTTCTATTATTG